AAACTGGTTCAAATGGATAATGCTACACTTATCAGATTTTGATTTGTAAAAAATGTTAAAACCCATCTATTGAGAGTGAATACATACTGTACTGTGAATACTCTTTTCATCTAGTATTTATAAATGTATATTAATAATTGTTCCACTTCAAAATTGTACAGGCTTATCACATAAAATCCAGATAAAACACTTTAAAATGTGTGGTTGTGACAAATACTTAAAGAGATATAGAAGGGGGGTTTATTTAAGCTTGAACAACACTACATTTCTTAATTTGAGTATTTATTTGTCTAAGAGTTAGTCCAACTCAGGTTTTTGCTCCCCGCTCACATAGGCTGTGTACAAGGCCGACATGGAATGGGTCAAGGGAATGGGATGGGTGCCAATTGGGTCGCTGGATGTGGAGAAAGCCAAGAAAGCAGCAGAGATCCTGAGCGACAGGAAGTACCGGCAGCATCCCAGCCAATTCAAGTTCACTGCCAAGACATCAGATATGCCATATGCTCTGGCGCAAGCTAACGCCCAGACTATGAACAAGGTACAAAAAAAAGCTAAATTTAACCATTTCTTTTTATATAAAGTTTTATTCTCTTAAGAAAACTACTTAATAAGGAAAATTTGGTTTTTAATACACATTTTATGTAATAAATTTGACAGAAAGCGTACATCGAGGCCTGGGAGAAGGACAAGCTCAACCTGCACATCTTACCTGACACTCCAGAGATCCTGCTGGCAAAGCAGAATAAACTCAACACCAGTCTGGTAATGCAATGTTTTTCTTTTAGTCGTTTGTTGTTGTTTTTTCAACATAATTAAATAATTATTTACTCCAAAGATCATTACCAAATGTGTAGATCTTTATATGTATTTGGTTTTTAGCACAAAGTGAACGGGACGCGACATCATCGCTTTTTGTTTCTTCCACAGAAATATTACCGTGAAGGTTTTGTCAATGCCATCAACAAGGGCTACTTCCTCCCCAAAGACGCCATTTCTGTCATCGCAGCCAAAACGTCCCGCGACATCATCAGCGACGTAAGTTTGTGTCACAAACATTTTCTATGTAAATGGTTTCACCTGACACAAGAACTCATGGAGATACTTTTTTTTTTTTTTTTTTGGTTTTAGTACAAATACAAGGCTGGTTTCCGCAAGCAGTGCGGCCACCACATCGGTGCTCTGAGCGTTAAGGACGACCCTCTGCTCATGCTGGCCGCTCACGTGGCCAAGATCTCCAGCGACAACATCTACAAGAAGGACTTCAACAAGACCAAGACCAAGTACAACCTCCCAGTGGACATGCTGACCATCGAACTGGCCAAGAAATGCCAGGTCCAGGTCAACGACTTCAACTACAGGACTCGCCTGCACCAGTGGACCTGCCTGCCCGACTCCAACGACGTGGTCCAGGCCAGGAAGGCCTACGACCTGAAGAGCGATGTGAGCACATGTCATAATTAAGCCAATTCATGAATGAAAAGAAAATCACCCATAAAACCAACGTATATGTTGTTGTTTTTTTAAGGCTGTTTACAAAGCGGATATGGAGTGGCTGAAAGGCTGCGGCTGGTCTCCCCATGAGTGCGTGGATGTGGTGAAAGTTAAAAACGCCCAGGCTGTTCTGAACGAGAGACTCTACCGCCAGCACCCAAGCACCGTCAAGTTCACCAGCGTTGTGGACCTCCCAGCTATCGTCCTGTCCAAGCAAAACGCTGAAAACCTCAGCGATGTGAGTCGGAAAGCAGATTAAAACTGAAAATTTGTACAAATATCTGTGCAAATGAGAACTTAATAAAGCCTTTTCTTTCTCTCTCTCTCTCTCTCTCTCTCTCCAACAGAGGAAGTATAGGGAAGTTTGGGACAAAGATAAGCTCACCATTCACATCCCACCTGACATTCCTCCTTACGAGCTGGCCAAGGCCAACGCCATCACTATCAGCAATGTAAGTTTGTGCCGACGTCCTCGCTTTGAAAATAACGCACCGGTTTTGATCTTATTTAAATTGCCTCCTGGTTTGAAAGTGACGCCTTATAATCATTTGTTGTGCTCTGTGCAGAAACTGTACACACAAGCATGGGACGAGCAGAAGGCCAAAGCCTGCCACGTCAAGGAGGACGCCATATCTGTGCTAAAAGCTAAAGCCTCCAGGGACATCATTAGTGATGTAAGAGAGAAGAAAATCGCCCTACATCTGTAAAGTAGGCTTTTTCTTTTTTTTACTAACTTCCTTTAATTTTTTTGCTTTTAGTACAAGTACAAGGAGGGATACAGGAAGCAGGTTGGTCACCACATCGGTGCCCGCTGCGTCCAGGACGACCCGCTCATCATGCTGGCTCTGAATTCAGCCAAGATCGCCAGTGACGCTCTGTACAAGAAGGATTTCAACAAGTCCAAGACCAAGTTCAACCTCCCTGTGGACATGCTGACCCTTGAACTTGCCAAGAAATGCCAGGTCCAGGTCAACGACTTCAACTACAGGACTTACCTGCACCAGTGGACCTGCCTGCCGGACTCCAACGACGTCGTCCAGGCCAGGAAGGCCTACGACCTCCAGAGCGATGTGAGTTACCGGAGATGCTTTTGGAAAGTGTCCATTTGTTATTTTATCACTACCTGCTTTAATTAAATGAATTTTTCCCTCTAGGCTGTGTACAAAGCTGACATGGAGTGGATAAAGGGCTGTGGGTGGATACCACACGAGTGTGTAGATGTTGTAAAGGTGAAGCATGCACAGAAGATTCTCGCTGATGTAAGTTTTACACACAACCACCCTCAAACCACCTTAAATATGTTCCACGTTACACGCATACTAAGTTAAAAGGTACTTCGAGGTCGATATGTTTTAGATTTAATCTTGCTTTTGTTCACAGAGAGGCTACCGGGTCAAGCTGGACGAACAGAAGTTCACTGTTCCCACCGATAGAGTTGACTTGGCCTGCGCCAAGAATGCTGCTGAGGTCTTAAACGAGGTAACATTTTTTCTGTTTTGTGAATTTGTTTTAATGCTTCGTTTAAAATTCCATTGCAGAGACGTCGCAGTGTCACATATGTCTTGTTTTTTGTTTCGTTCTTCTCAGGCCAAATACCGCGAGGCTTGGCACCAGGATAAGACCAATTACTCTTTGGTCGACACTCCCGGTCTCGCTACGGCCAGAGAGGTCGCTAAAAATATCCACCCGGTAAGGTTTGTCACACGTTTCAGTTCGAGCTCACTTTAATTTTCTACCGTTTCTGGATTCATGTATTTGTTTTTCCCGTCTTTCCTTCATGCAGAAACTGTACACTGAAGCATGGGACAAGGTGAAAGCCACTGGATACTTCATGCCTGGAGACGCCGTACCGATTCAACAGTGCATCAATACGACTAAAGTGCAGAGTAAGGTGAGTGGAGGGAGTTTATTTCACACAGGAAGAGTTTGTACAGGAATTGGTGTTGGTATGGAGAAATTAGGTACACGTCTGCATCTATAACTTATTGTTTGTAATTGTAGTTTAACATTTTGGTTACATGTAGATATAAAGAACATACCTTGTTCATGTAACTGAGAATAGAAAAACCCAACAAAATCTGATTACTTTGTTTATTCAAAGTTTATTCTGAAAGATAGAAAAATAATTCACATTTTTGTGACTCTTAACTTGATGATTATAGCAACATGACTGGATTTCACAAATTAAAGGATTTAAAGAAAAAGTTTGAGGTTTGAGATTCTAACTTAATGTTACGTTTTTCATTTTAAAGTTGCTCATATGTGGTTTTTCAGGGGCGCCTTCAATCAAGCTGCTGCTTGTGACCACGAGGTTACAAAGTAATATAAATAAAACAGAAAATGACGGAATAAACTACATGCAACTTTAAATATTGACAAATTATAATAATCTTATTGCATGTGTTTTCTTTTCCAGCTCTGTTTATTGTTATTTTAAATTTTTTTATATTCATTCACCTTAATTTGAATCTGCATTTACCTTTAATTTGCTGCTGGTGCACACAATAAAATATATTTCTATTGTATTGAATTGTATTCTTTTCTTTCAAAGATTAGTTGAATTTTTTTATATTTATCATGAGATGTGATTTTTGCTGCAATAGATTCCAACTATCGATGTAGTTGTGCTAAAATTGATGACTTACAGTTATCTTCTGTTTACTGAAAACAAAATGAGAATAAGAATGTTTTTTTGTTTTTTTTTATCTTGTAGCACAAGTACTTAGAGTCGTACCGCAAGCAGGTCGGCCACCACATCGGAGCCCTGAGCGTCAACGACGATCCTCTCATGGTTTTGGCCATAAACTCAGCCAAGATCGCCAGCGACGCTCTGTACAAGAAGGACTTCAACAAGTCCAAGACCAAGTACAACCTCCCA